AGGTGTAGAGCAAACACAGACTCCAGGAAATGTGTCAAATGAAGGTGACATGAAACACAAAGAAATAGGAACAGAGAACGACTACACTTGTCCTTTAGGAGAGTCTGATTTAGACTCAGATGAAGTCACAGATGCAGGAAGCACTGGTAATCAAGATCACTTAGAAAACCCAGATATTGCTAGTGGATCAGAATCAAGTTGCCTGGATATTCATCCTTTTTTCTTCAACTCCACTGATGTCTCATCCACTTTACCAACTGTGAACCCACCATTTGCAAGTCAACTTGATGAAAAAAGGCTTTGTGGAGGTGAAGAGCAAACACAAACTCCAATAAATGTCCCAAATGAATGTGACATGGAACAAGTGGAAACAGAAACAGAGACCAACATGTGGAAGTTGCGTTCTAACCGAGTAGAACAAATCCTCTCTCCATTAAGCAAAGAGTTTGGTCCGTTCTACAGGTGCAAGAAACTCGGCCTTGAATTCAATGTTGGATTTGGTCCAAAGCAAAACATCAGTGTTGACTGTTTCAGCAATGCTGTTCTGCTTGAACTTGTTAATTTTGCCATGGCAATTAATTCATCCCAGAAGAATTTCGTCATGGAGATTCTCGAGTCCAACTTCAACCTCGGCTTGCAGAGTCAGCACCATAGGAATATTTTTGCATGTGAAATTATGAAGAGGGTAAGACAGCTGAGAAGTTGTGAAGATGCAGTCAAATTCTCAAATGAGGTTTTTGAACTTCCTGTACCCATGCCATCAATAAAAATGACAAAGAAGAGTGGGGGCAGTGACGTTGCTCGTGTGTGTCCTCCTGATTCAAATGAGACTAAAAAACTTACTTCACACAAGAATGAGGATCTTTATCCCGTGTGCAAGGAAATAGGTCTGAAGCTACATGTAAAAAATGGGCAACCGAACAAAAAACTGGACATAAACAAATTGACCAATGGAGCAATGACTGAACTGACAAACTTTGCAGACAAGTTGTGTGGAACATTTGAGCAGATTTGCGTTGACATCCTCAGACACAACTTGGATTGTGATTTGCAAAGTGGAGATTCTGACCTTGCCGAGAATCTTCTTGCACGAATTCCTGCTGTAATGGAGAAAAGAAATCTATCTACCTGTGTGAAAGCTTTCAAGAAATTAAAGGGCACAAGAAAAGATATGTCAACAGTTGAAAAATTGGATTGCCAGAACAACACAAATTCAGATGCATACAGTGCTGGTTCTTCCCAGGCAGAAATCAAAGACCAAAATGTAGAGAGTTCCACTGAAACTGAACACCAGAATGCACTCAATATCGAGCTGTGGAAATTGCGGGCCAATAATATTCGGCGAATCCTCTCAGTGCCTCATGAAGAACATTGCCCACTTTACTCTTACTCCAGATGCAAGAAATTGGGAATTGATTTCAACGTAGGATCTGGAGTAAAGCAAAATCTTGATCCCAAATTACTGACCAATGGCATCATGGTTGAATTTAACACTTTTGCTACAGCACTGCTATCAGGCACAAAGCATTTTGTCACAGAGATACTGGAGTATAATTTTGATCTTAATTTTAAAAATGATCTGTATCGCAGTGCCTTTGCACAGCTAACTATGACTAAAATTAGGTCACTGTCAAGAAAAAAGACCATGCCTTTTGAACTCCCTGACATGAGCTGCATACAAGAACCTACTTATGAGAAAACTGAGTATTGCCCCAAATGCTCTGAAGACCGAAATCATCAGCTTCGCTTGGATGAATTTGACGTCGGCCACATGCATCATCCTCGTCCACATGCCATAACGGACACACACTCTTTTGATGTAAACAGCACAGAACACAAGCCTACAAAGGATCCATCCTCTACCTTCTCAACTACAGAGAAAACACTAATGGACAGTTACCCTCACTGCAAGAAAATAGGTTTGAAGTTGTGTGTGGACAAAGACCGACCAAAAGATAAACTTGACACACATGTCTTGACTCGCGGGGTTGTCACTGAAGTGGCTAATTTTGCGAAGAAATTGTGTGGAACAAAAAGTAAGATCATTTATGCACTCCTGGAACACAACTTCAACATCGGCATGCAGGACAGAGACGTAGATCTTGTGCAGATGTTCCGCAGAGAGACGGCACTAAAAGACCTCGGGATCGACTGGTTCAGTGAAGTTTTTGTTATTCGGCCAGTATCTCACAGGCAGCCTGGATATGTAGGTAAAGTGACACGGGAAAGTGCCGTACAGAGAAGTGACTGGCAGGAAACTATCCAAAAAAGAAAGCTGGCATTGCAAACAAAGGAGAAAAGAGAGAGAGAGACACCAAGTCAAAATACAAGTGTCATAAAATCAAAGAAACTTCGGACTAAAGTAAACCCTTATCCCATTTGCACAGAGATAGGTTTGGATCTAGACTTGACGTCGAAATCAGAAGGCAAAGAAAGACTGGACTTAGAGCTATTGACCACAGTTGTAGTTGCAGAGATACATAAATTCATAACTTCAATGGGAGGACAGTATTTCCCAGGTACTCTGTTTGACATCCTTGACTATAACTTTGATCTTAGCTCACAATATTACAGGCGCTTGGAATTTTCCATAACTACTGCCTCCAAAGTCCAAGCCTTAGTCAAGCGATATCGTAAAAAACGAGACAAAGCAGATGTGGTCTTCAGATTGCCGTTTGTGTTTCCTCCCAGGAATTTACAAAGTCCTTGCGAGAACAGACAACAAAATAAATGTATAAATGATTCCCAGGAAAAGCCAGACAAGAAAAAAAATGCAGGTAGTTGCGTACGCCAAGTGAAATACCATTCAGATGTCAATCGCATCAGTTTTCTCAGTGGTGTCAAAACTAACGAAGACCTTTGGTCCCTTGATGACCCAAAGTCCCCAACTGGTCATTTGCCAATGAATGTGCAGATGAATGAGAGTCTAGCGGGTGTAGGTTGTGGTCGTCCTCTCCAGGGAGGCTATATGAAACCAGAACCGGACACTGAGGAAAAATATCATCCACATTATGATGTAAAAACAGAGTCAAACACTTCAGTTCAACCTGCAGCACCCCTTGGATATACAATTATGACTCTGTGTCCAATCTCTGGAAACATAAAAACCGGATCAGAAAATCAGACTGTCCAGTATTACATCTTAGCTCAACCACAAGTCTCTGAAGAACACGCTATGCTAGCTGTATGTCCAAACATTACGAGTAACATAAGAACCGAATTGGACACTGCAGGTGTGAAGTATTCAGCTTCAAGTGAAGCACCAGAATCCCCAGAATACTCCATGGTAACCATAGGTGAGGTCAGTGACGGTACAATGATCAAAGAAGAGCAAGAAAATGTGCCTGTTGACTCATTCCATTACGGAGTTGAGTCATACCCCGAAAGTGAAGTGGGCATCAAACAGGAATGGGATCCTTAATGTGCTGAATAATCGCTGGTAGAGGCAGGGGTGTTTTACACTAAACAGATGCTATTAGATGCCATATTTGCTATGAAAACTGGTTTGTGTTGGGGAAGAATGTAGTTGATGACTAATTTTAATGCTGCAGAAAAATATCCTGTCAAACGCTCATTGTTTAACTCTTAAGAAATGGAGCTGTGTGTTCAAGCCCAAAAAGATGGCTGGGTATGACTAAAATGTTTGAATGCAAAGGGCTTATGCCACAGTTGAATTTTTTTTTATGATTTTTTTTTTTTTTGTCAGCTTCAGTTGAGATTTATCAGAATTTGAGAATTGTTTTGACACTGAACCTGACTCTGTTGATGGACATTTTTTGTGAATACATTTTTGTATTAAGACGTTTTAGTCTGTTAAAATGCTTGTTCTCTCTTATGTTCTGTTAACTTCAATAATAACTTGACTTCAGTAATAGTTATTCTTTGTTTTATTTTTCAAGAGGAAAAAATGCTTACTTACAATGTAAATGAGAAGATTTTGTATATTACAAAAACATCTTAAGAAGCTGTAAATAGATGGAGATGAGTGTGTTATATAAACATTTAAAAGCATCCTGTCTACTTCTGTGTTTTATACTCTCAACCTGTACCATATTTGCCTAGTGTGGTGCTGATAAATATTGCTCACTGCTTTTAGATCATTGAACACCAGCTGTCCTGTGTAGTACTGGAAGTGGGCTATTGGTGGTGCTACATACCAGCAGTTTCCTTTGTAGGCAGCAAAGACCTCCCAGACTTTACAAAGGCATAGGTTCTAATTACAAAATAATGTTTGACTTTAGCCATTCAAGTACACGTGCATCTTAGTAATTAGTGTGCATATAGCAGTGCTGTTCAACTGTACTGTAAAAACATCACCAAGGTCCAAGGTCAAGGAGTTGTGCTTTTCAAAATAAAAGTACTGAAAGTGAATAAAGTGGACACCCTGGCCAAAAAAAATACATGAGAAAAGAGTGCTCTTACATGAACAGCCTGCGTGTTTTGTGTTACAGAAGAGTCATTGGAAATAATTACCATTTATTTTTTGGTCAGATCCACATAAAATGTACTACTGAGGATGTTATATAGTATTAGTACAAAGACATATCCTAAAATGTACTTGGTAAGATAAATAAAAAGGAATGTTGAATAAAAAAAGAAATAAAAATACTTAATTTTCCAGCTGTCTGAAAACAAGCACTGGAAAGAGGACAGTGCCAGTGTTTGTTTAAAATGCCTATCTGGAGTAAACACAATTTAACTTGGAAGGCTATTGGAAAATGATGCTGTGGTTAAAAAAGCCCAAAGAGTGAATCACTGAATTACAAATGTAAGAAGTTGTTTTTTGTTTAAAAATATATGGGCTGTAGAACCTTACCGTCTCATCTTGTGGCATTAACCCCCCCAAAAATGGTTTTATTTTGAAAACATGTCCGGAAGTGTTTCGTGTAAAGTCTGTGTGACTTTACTCTGTGGAGACGCCCATTCCCAGTCCACACCCTCCCCGACCGCTGGATCGGGTCCTCCCTCTTCAGTAGCTTCATTTGCCAGCCTGGATGTCGGATCTCCACCGCAGTTCTACCGCAACAGGTAAACCACCGCAAACCATTTAAACGCTGCACAGGACGGGACGAGCAGTAGCACCTACCGGACACTGTCGCTGCTGACCTTTTGTGTTTTATTTGAACCTTTTCCTGGAAGGTAAATTGGGATGTCCTGCTCTGTTAAATGATACATTTAAAAGACGAAACGGTGTAGCATGTTAACTGTGTTTTCTCCACTGCAGGAGATCTGTTGCAGGTTTTTAAGGGTTGACGAGAAAATCTGATGTGACACCTGTCAGTAAACCCTGAGTGATAGCTTTTTGTCTGCGCTTAAGATGGAAAACACACCATATGGTTGGAAAAAAGAAAAACCTCGTCAGACGTATTCATTAGAAAATATAAATTTTAACAAAATACCCCAACTTACATTTAAAGAGAAGTCTGTTTTATATCCATATAAGGGCTGTCTGCTATAAATTGCCTTGTCTTTAAGATAATACATTGTCAGTGAGTGTATTGTATGTGATGATGGATGCTGGATGTCTGTTTTTTTTTAGAGCAAACACATTCAAAACTAGGCAGAAATAGGCACTAGACAATGGCTTTATTGTTTTATGCCATTTAAACATAACTCCAGAGGTTATTCACCCTGTTTCTCAGAAGTAAATTTGCCATTCACAGAGAAGGTGCGTTCACTGACAGACTGCCATTTAAACATTCACCAGAATATTCAGTCTAACTAATAATATCCTTATCTTGAGAAAAAGAAATGACTGTGATATTTCTGGAGCTGCCCATAGGGGAGTGTCTGTGGTCGCCTTACTGGACCCAGCACACAGTGACCTTAATGTAGTTTGTAGTATTTTATCACATGCCGTCTTTTTGTCTTAAAGGGGACACATTTAAACCCATATTTTATACAGCATTTAAAATACAGCACAAGCCTGACCTCTTGTTTGTCCTGTGCTGCGTTGATCTCACTGTACCCGAGCTTTAAAGCTGTTATCAGACCTTTTTAGATTGTTGACCATCAGTGCAGTGTTTTCTTATTCTTCTATGAGATGATTTGACCAAATTTAGCAGTTTATCCATGCGCGTGTTCATTCACTGCAGCATAGACTAATTATAGAGATTGCTTAGTGTGTGTGTGTGTGTGTGTGTGTGTGTGTGTGTTCTGCTGCTCTCTGTGAAAACACAAGGAGGAGGCTTTCTTTGCTGAATTGGCAAAGTCCATCTAAATTGCACTTCCAGTGACGTCTGGGCTCGTCCCTGCAGGGACTGTTGCATATCCACCTGCCAAGAAAGAAAGAAAGCATTGCATAATACGCAGATGCACGTAAATGTACATAAACATGGATCCGTTGGTGTGTTTAAGGTGGAAGCTGTTTCAGGGAGCATTTTTATATGACAGTCACATCAGCATGAATGGGAATGCTGTATTGAGGGCAGTTTGGCTTTATTGTTGGAGTCAAGAGTAAGAATCTTGTGCCAGAGGTATATAAGTGAGAAGCTGAGGTAGGACAAGCTGCTGAGGGCTGGGGCTGGGGAGTGTAAAGAAAGTGAAAGAGGCTTTGGTGAATCATTCATCGCTCGAGCTGACCCACAAATGTATCAAAAGGATAAATATAAGGCCGACTTTTCTGGTGGAAGCATCCCCGATTTTCACCTGCAGCACAACAGAGGAAGGTGTGTGGATGTCTTTGTATCTGTATGTGTTTCTGTGCTCTTGGGAATAGGCAGAAAATACAAGCGCACACACACACACAACACACACACACATACACAGGCGTCTTTCTTCCTCAGGCTCAGCAAAGCTTCCTGGGCTGTGTCTGCTAGAACAGGGTCCCCCTCTGTGTGAGGAGTGTGTGTCAGACACACTCATGCACACAGGCCGACGCATTGATACGCACATCCGACCGGGCCAGTGTGGCGCACACAGGTGTCAATCAGCATGCAGGCCGGAGTCAAAGGTTCTTTGATTCATTTTCTCCCTCGGTGCAGTGGGTCAGCAAACCGCTGGCCCTGAAAGTGTCTCACACTTTTCCCCAAATCACAAACTTTCAAAGTGCTACATGTAGTATTTTTATACGTCAATATACCATCAGGGCTGGAGGGAGAAGGATGTCTTGGCTGTTTGGCTCTGGATTTTGCCACTGCAACAGATCCAGAAGCAGTGGGAAATGTAATAGTAGACTAGTTACTCTGTTTCCAGCCTTAATCACATTAAAACATGTGACTGAAAGTTTATTGTTGACCTTGGAATAGCATGTTGACGAGACAAGCTTAACTCACTGTTTACCTACCTTTTTTTTTGTCATGTAGATAGCTCAGTTGCCATCACACGCAAGGCCAGATTAAGCTGTTAGTGGGCCCCAGGGCATAAATGTGGTGTGGACCCTAATTGGTCAACCACCCTCAATGCATTGTGTATGTACGTTGTGTTGTTGTGTCACCTTCAGGATCTCAGTGCACACAGCAGACTACTCTAGGTGTTCCTTTTGATTGCGTAATCTAAGCATGGAACATCTGTCATGTGATAACAGGTTGAAAGGTTAGGCAGTGGATATTGAGTAAAGACAGTTTTTTTCAAAATAAACCAAAGTTTAGATGATTTATAGTCTTTCTCTCCCGCTTTTGAAATCGAAAACATATTCCAGAACTGCTGTTGCTTCTATGTTGTTTTAGTTTTTTAGCATAGCCTCTTTCCACTTGTTCCACAATATAACAAAAACTTTGAGGGCTTAAGGTGTCAGTGTGCTCAAAATGAACTAGTTTGTATGCTGTGCTGTCTGATTGCATCTGAGGGCAAAAGTGTAAATGCTGTAGTTCACACTGCCGCACTCAACGGCGGGATGAAAAGCTGGAGCTTCGGAGAGGCAAGATTTCCAGCAGCAAACAATCCGACAGTACAGCATGGAAAATGCAGTAGATACTGTCAGTCATCTTGGCCCCGCTCTTGCTTGTTTATCGTATTCATAAAGATTTTGTGTCTGCAATGCATACACCTACATTAGTGTGGAACTTGTGCATAAGTATAATATAATCAGTACACTAAGTATTTCTAATATTTGATGGTTTATGTGTCAGCTATTAAAATATATGAAATAGTACATGAACACAGATGAGTTTACTTTTCCAGTACTAGGGTGGCTTTGTGTGCCTTGTGTTGATTCTCTCTCTGTTTTTTTTTAATCCAGGATGTGTCCGTGTTTGAACAGAGAAAGCTCTCTAACATAGCCAATAGAAGATAGAATCTATTTGAAACCACACACACACCTCAGGGTGCAAAAGTGTCATACAAAGTGTTTGCAGAAGGCGCACACATACAGTGTATATACACGTAGACCTGCATAGCTCAGGAGTTATTAAAGGTACAGTGTGAAGAATTTAGTGGCATCCAGCGGTGAGGTTGCAGCCAACTGAATACCCCTCGCCTCACATTCCCCTTCATAGCAAGGCCCTATCAAGGTCCAGTGTTTGGTTTGTCCATTCGGGGCTGTAGAAAAAAGGCAGTGCAACATGACAGGTTCTGTGGAAGAGTACTCCCCCTCCCTCTGTAGATAGAAACGTCTCACTTTAAGGTAAGGACACAACAATTCTTATTTTCAGGTGATTGTACACTCACGAAAACAAAACTCATGAATCTTATATTCCATTTCTGCTATTATACAAGAGAAAAACAAATACAAAAGTAATAGTTCACCAAGTAACCTATTTATTGGTCTTGTGTAATTTGAAACCCTGGTAGAGGTTTATTATGTAACATAAGCCTACAGTGAGTTACAGACAAGGCTTTAATTATTGTAGATAAGATAGACTTTTAAATTTCGATTTATCACTGAATTAAAACAGGTTGCTCAAATAGATTTTTGCATAGAAATGAATTATTAATAAAAATGTAGACCAAGTAACTGCCAGGTGTAACTGTTGCATAGTTAACTGAACTAGAGTCATTCCTATGTTCCCAGTGTCCTATGTCCCCCAGTACTAAGGCCTGGGGACTTAGGAGACTGGGGGCCTAGGAGACTGGGGGCCTAGGACCCTGGGAACATAGATCTGCTCCCAACTGAACAAATTGACCTTGCTGATATGACCCATAGAGCGAACAGTGAAAGGGATCATCTGAAATATAGTCGACAAATCTGAACTGACAGAGACAAAGATTTCACAAAAAACAAACCACAAGTCTCAAATTATGACCTAGTGAGAGCTCAGTTAGCTGCATTGCTAGCTATAAATACTAGTAGTTAAGAAGAACTAAAGGTGTATACAGTGTCTAAACCAAGTCCTGATGCGGTGACAAATGAAGATGCGTAAAGTTTGTGTAACTTTAATATAATTAACAGGATTGTCTTTGATTAAGTGCTGCCTTTGTATTGTCTGCACATATCTGTTTGTATTTACCTCGATGGATTTATGATTTTGGACTTGGAGTGCCTTTTATTGTTTGCTTGTGTGTATGTGTTTGTTTATCGGTCGTGTGAGCTCGCACACATGCACTAGCGCATATATTCAGTGCATGCAATGACGTGCGCTACAGTGAACGGTTCATTGCTCTTAAGTAATTGACAGTGTCGGCATGTGCAGAGGATGATTTATAGTACACCAACCACAGTCCACCCCTCTAGGAATTCACCCACAAAAGAGGAACATCAGTGATGGAGAGGAGAGAGGAGGGGATGAAAGAAATTGGGTGGGAGTCATATAAGAGGGGATGCATGTTCGAGTGAGAGATAAATAAGAAATAGGGGAGCTGAAATGGAAAAGACAGAGTGGGGAGTGAAGTGAGGTAAAAAAAAAAAAAGTGTGAAGGAATGATTTGGGGAAAGCAGAGAGGAGATTGCTTAGACCTGACAGGAAGCACAGCGGAGGAAAAACCTCGCTTGTAAGCTATAGGCTTCCAGATAGATAGATGAAACGAGAGGAAGTAAAAGGGTAAGTGTGAGTGGACAGACTAACAGAATCGGAAGAACGGGATTGAAAGAGTTGCTAAAATAATGATGCGAGAAACTGCAGGAACAGAAAAACTCAGCTTCGGATGGAAAATGAAAAAAACGACCTCCCAGTAAATAAGTATGCATTTTCAATTTGAAGATGTTGTAAGCATGAGTGATCAAGAATATGGGAAGTGTATTGCCAGAGCAATTGGCCTGGAAAATAATTCAGCAACAACGGTAAAGGAAAAGCGGTAAATAGCAAGAAAAATCATGAGGACAGGAAACAATAGAGAAGACAGTTTTACAGTTTTACGTGTCAGGGGTGCGGGACAATGAAAACCCAAATACATAGGACTGGTTTTACAGCATGCATGGGCAAATGTTTATATTCTTATTAAGACAAATGTTTCTTTCCTGAACCAGGCAAATATGTATATTCCTAATAAGAAATATTTCTATCTGTAATAAAACAAATAGTTACATTCTGAATATGGAAAATACTTACATTCCTGAGGCAAATAGTTATAAAACAAATATGTGTGTAAAGAGGAGGAGATCTATTAACTGCACGCCCATACCCACAACTCTCATTAACAGGGCAAAACACCATGGCACAGTTTCTGACAATTGGTTTCTTACTCTTTGAATATTTTGAGTATTTTATGTCAGTTTACAGTGTTTATGCTTCAATATCTTTCAATATTTAGTTTTTGAAAAGGAAGCTGTGTTACACTTGTTGTTCTATGCGCTCCTGATAGTAGAACAAACCTATATGAAGGCCAAAAAACACCATGATATACAGTGAAACCGCCAGAAAATTTTTGATCATACCGCCTCGAACGATCCTACTTAAATAAATACTTATGTTCCTGATTCCACATAGTTACATTCCTAATAATGCAAATATTTCAAAGCCTAATTAAATGGTAATTGCAGTTAAAGTCATAATGACAGACGTATTAACACTGGAGAAATAAAGATACACCAAGATTTGCAGAAGACTGTGCGTATCTGTGATCTGAGAGGGGACAGTGATGAATGCTTGCTTCCTGCCTGACCACCATCATTTCCCCCTCCTCTGTCCCTCAGCTGTCTGTCCTCCTCATGCCTACTTCTCCCTGCTGGCATTGTCCGTATCTCTGCCATTCCTTCTGTTCCGCTCATCCTCCCCTCTCTCTCTCTCTCTTTCTCATTGTCATTGTGTCCCCCTCCTTTCTCTTTATTTCCCCTCCTCTGTCCCTCCCTTGCTCTGTCATCCCTCATCATGTTAGCCGTGCTTTCCTTGCATTGTGACCAAGCCGATGAGATTTTTCTCCCCTCTCGCACGCATTCACGTCCTCTCTGTTCTCTCCCTCATTCGCACACGCATGCTTGCGTTTCCTCACTCATACACGCTGCTCCGTGGCACACACGCACACACACAATCACACTCACATCTTTCTTTCTCTCTCTTTCCCTGCAGATGTCTGAGAGCTAGCCAGCTGAGTAGAGGACTTCCCTCTCTGCCCGCGCTCTCCACCTGCAGCCATGAATGGTAAGAACACTTTGTTTTTGTCCTGTGTTTTGTCATGATGTGTTTGTCCGTGGGAGGCTAAGTATGCACCTTGGGAAGAGTGGTCAGGGTGGAAATTAACTTGAAGGGAACAGATCGATGAGGAAGAAAGAGGGCAGATGCAGGGAGGCAGAGTTGACCAATAAATAGCAGTTGTGTTGTTCCTGTGGTCTTCGTCCTGTCAAGACTCAAAGGTGCGTTTGTTTCAGTCCGTAACAATGTTTTTGATGTTTGAACTGTTTGAATGGGATATTGATCTGGTGTCAGACTTCAACTCAACCCGTCTTTGTTCCCCTAACATTTTGCAAGAAATGACATGTTGTAAAAACCTCTGCAGCAACAAGGGCTTGAAGGAGTAATCATTGTTAATACATGTTATGCAAATAATGAGCTATTTTGGTGTATGTCTTTTGTGTGGGGGACTGCCTCTGTTACTGTTGTGCGAAGTCTTGAAAATGATGTATCTCTTTTGTCCTTGGTGTGGACATAATTGCTCAATAGTGTGTGTGTGTGTGTGTGTGTGTGTGTGTGTGTGTATGCGCGTGTTAATCCTCTTGTTTCCAGCCTTTGATCATAGAACAGTAGTTGCTGCTCCTTAAGGGCCTCTATGGGAAATGCTTCCGAGAAAGTGTGTGTGTGTTTGTGTGTGTCGGATGCATCTTGTCCACATGACTAATTCTGCAGTTTAACAAAATGCCAAACCCCACAACTACACTCTCCGCTGTAATCCCATCCAGTAGATGGACACTGGGAGAAAGCAATTCGGAAACATAACATTAGTACGTGATGAGTTTCTCCATGGAAACATAGCGACGGGAGGCTGAGCTCTTTGCGTTATTGCAACCTCATGAACACGGCGCATCTGTAACAAGGCAATTGTAAAGTCATCACACATTCGCAAAACAGTTGAACAGTATGCAGCACTCCAGGAGAAGGAAAGGAGTGTGTGTGTTGACTGAAATGCTGCAGCGTGCAGAGACCGTTGATCCACTGTACCTATCTGAGACATCAACTTGTCCTCCCCAGGTGAAGCGTTTGATATGTAAATACTTTATGAAAGCAGTGATGTGTTTTCCCCCTAGAAGGCTGGCACTGGGTGTCTGGAGGTTTGACTCCAGCGTCTCCCGAGGACTGTGCAGCAACCTAGACAACAGCACACTGGCTGACAAAGGGAAGTAAAACCACACAAGGCTCTTTGTGTCGCAGCTGCTCGGGAGGTGAACTGTGGTACAGTGGGTTTAAATTCTGCACAGGCGTTGTTGCTGTGGAAGCGATTGCATGCTGCAGGTTTTTTTTTTTCCTGTGGATGGACTGTGTGCTATATTGTCTCAATATTGGCCGAAGTGCTCTCGTCTGTTCGCCGAGAGTTTGTGTTCTAGGTTTGCTGTGCAGGAAGCTGCTTGTATGTGTTCAGTGTATGACAGGATGGATACATGTCAGTTATAGTGATATCTTTTTATTTGAATATTTTTCTCCAGCCAAACAACTGAAGAGCAAATTCTGATTTACTGGGATAGTCTTGAACAGTCAAAGCTTTCCCCCCTCTTTTTCGTTCTTAATGCTGTCTGTCCTGTCTCCTGGCTCCAGCTTTATATTTACTGTGCAGACAGAGCGGTATCAACCTTGTTGTCTAACTCTTGGCAAGAAAGTGAATAAGTTTCCCAGAATGTCAACAAGGTTCCCACTGAAAGAATTAAAAATATGTATGTAAAAAAAATGTAAAAAAGTATTTAAGATCCAGACTGACTCATGTCCTCAAGCCAATTTGCTGTCCTTTTTTTCCAAAACTGTTAAATCCCATAGCTTAAAAGGCTTACTATAATTAGCTTTGACATGCTACATATTCTAAAATTTGGCACTTCTTTATCTGGTCTCACACTGAGTGGCCATATGTTTGCAACCCAAGTATCAACCCACAGAAGACCCCTATGGATTCTGACATTGCTGTGTAAGAAGCTTTGCAGTGCCCCACTTATTCACAGAGCGCTCAGCCCTCACTGATACTGTACAGGCGCCGAATCAACTGACAGGCCTGTTGATGTGGCCACGCTTGCTACATGTCCCAGTGGCACTGTGCTAAATATCACCTCCCTTTCTCACTTACAATGGCTTCTGAATGAGGTCCATCAAAGCCAACAAGACAATGCGAAGAATATTCACATCTCGGTGCGAGATTAATTACTTTCTCCTTCTTTTATGGCTGCAATTTGCTGACAATGCCGAAAACTAGGTCGGGCACAGCGAGCTGTGAACGCTGGCTTTGTCAGGGAAAAAGCACATACATGAACAGGTGCTACCGTGGTAGTTTAGGGTAGAGTTTGTTTGGATATTGAAACCAGCTCAAGGCAATCTGCTAGAGTGTTTGCTAACAAACAGACATCTCTGTGTGAGGCCAACAGCTGTCAGTTTCTGATTATATTAAAAAAATTAATCTTCCTCCCTTTTAACTCTATAGTTTTCACATTTAATCTTCAGACTGCTCTGCCACAGCTTTGTGTCATTCCTCAGAGATTGTGTGTGCGTGTGTGTGTGTGCGTGTGTGTGTGTGTGCCGCGCGCGTGCGTGCGTGTGTGTGT